AGTGTGCCAACCAAAGGCTATTCGATGGTCAAATTAGTAAGAAAATATGAGACTCTAATGGTGGGCAAGCTGATTACATTACCAGAGTTGAACCCTAAACAAGTGTATTTATACTAGTCAGGAAAGAGACCCTTTTAGGATAGATACCTTATTATAAGATGGGAGAATCTTAGAAGATATCTAGAAGTAGATATTGTACCCTCTTAGGAGTTGTGATTCCTTGTTGCCCACGTCAATTCCTAGGTTGTAAGAACTCCTAGACTTATAGAGGATCTGGCTGATTTCAGACCGAATCAAATCCCTGCAAAATAAGCATGGTCATTCCAGCAAAGTCGCTCAAACTTCAATTGTTGCTTTGAAACATAATGATGGTGGCACAATTGTTCCATTAATCCAGCTTCACTCAAAGCTGTTAAGTCTATAACCAGACTTCTTAGGTAACTGTATTCTGATCAACCTTACTTTGGCTCTAGAAAATCATGGTCTTATAATGGCCCTAACTATGTATCTAAAAAGCATTTGTTCCGTTTGAGGATGGATAGTTATCTAAAGACCATGCATTTCAGAATAAGCTAGACTACGTATAGTTTGGTTTTCTTTTTTTCTAATGGTAATCTGATTCTTTGTGGAGTAGTGGAGACATTTTGGATTCAGATATGCAGTCTTGAGCATCATGCCACAAAGATCGTAATGATGATGAGTATCGCGTGGGCACACTTTGCAAAGAGTGGCCATCAGCGATATCCATGGTGATATGCACACGTTGCCGATTGGAGTACCTTAGCTAACTTAGCTAAAGAATTTTTTATGTATCGGAGCTCTATTGGAATCAAATTCATCTTGGGGATTGCCTACTATAAATGCCCTTTTCGGACCTACTAAACACATGGTTGGATTTTAAAACCACCCTCGGATGATTTCTAGATCAGCCTTTCAACTATTCATTCAATGGCGTACAGCCCGGGTTTAAATGTTATAACCCACAATCTTTATGGCACACTAAACATCCGAGTTAAGGCACCATGTGTACATGCACGTAGCCTGCCAATCATAATCGTGCTTATTACGACTTGAATTTCCCAAGCTGCTAACTGAACAATACGAAATTGGCTAAAAGACTACTCTAACAGTGTTACTTTGAATTTTTTAGACTTGCAATCATGAGAAGTTTTCAAAGTTTATGTTTTGCCCAAGTGATTGAGGTATTCCATTCATCACCCAAAAAAGAAAGACACAAACTTTGAACATAAGATAAACAAACTTCATAATTTCTTTATTGATAAAGGAAATATGATTGTTTAACAAAGGGGTGTGATTGAGTTCGGAAATGAATGCTTATATATCTCCAGAAATGAGAATCAAATCACTGGTGTAGTTCTAGGAAAAGATGATGTAATATAAATATTACATTAGTGATCATCTTTGACGAACAATATATGGCAGGGCGTTAAAGAGATGAGTTCTCCATGGACTTATCTTCACGCAGACGGCAAAATTCCGATTGAGTCTGGAACGGACGACCTACATATCCCGGAAAAAGAATCAAACCGCGTGTAGTTCAGATATGTGTGTCTATGGTAGTACAACTTAAGCTGGGTAATGTTCGACTCTTTTGTGATTGGAGTTCCATCCATGCGATGCAGGTTGTAAGTTATTTTGCTTTATACTCCGACGATTTTATATTTTCCTTCTCAGTTTGCTCCGAGCTTGCCTTCTCTTGGTATCTTTGTGTTTTCAAAGACTTTTCTTAGGACCAGGTCCTAATAAGCTTTGAATTTTAATGCCTTTATTATAATACGATCAGATTTGTTGTTATTAGGCAGCAAGTCGGACCTAAGCGTATTCTCGTTGTTCTTCTGCGAAGTCGAGGTTTGACTTGAGGATTATTGGTCATCCATTATTTGATATACATATTCGGTATTGTGGTGACTTGGACTAAGATGACGGCTTTTTCTTCGTAAGCTATGGAAAATGGTGTTTTCGAACTATTGTATGGTATGCCATAAGACCCCGGGCAGCTCTTTTGTCTATTTACTTTTCTTTTCGATTCTTTTCTTTAAACATTGGAAGATGGTCTTGTTTAAAGCTTCACCCTGCCCATTACCTAGTGTTATCTTAGAGTGGAAGTGAGATAACGGATCCTAAGTTCTTTATACCAATTTGTGACTTCTTAACTAGTAAACTACAACCCATTGTTTGTGAGTATGGTATGGGGAACTTTAAATCGGCAGATGATATTTTTCTAGACAAAAGGTTTGACAGTCACACTTGTGATTCTCGGCAGAGGTTCCGCCTTGATCCACTTCAAGAAGTAATATGATGCCACTATCATATATTCCCTATTTCCTTGTGCTTTTTTTAGTAGCCCAATCAAATTGATGCCCTATTGCATGAAAGTCCATGATCCTATTAGAGTGTTAAGTTTTTATGCATGTTGATGGTTCATGGGGGCGTATCTTTGACATTTATCATAATTTTAGGCGTAACCTATAGCATCTTGCCTCATGGTAGGCCAATAGTATCACGCAACCAATACCCACTTCTGTGCTAGCAATCTTCTTCTAGCATAGTTGTCACATATTCCAGAATAGATGTCATTTATGATTGCAAGCCTGCCTCTAGAATAGGAACGTTGATAAAGTTTTTTGCGGATTATTGTTTATCTCGAAGCCTTTTAAACCAGTTTCTTGGCCAAGTGGTGATTGTCAGGTAGCTTTATGTCTATGATATAGTTGATGATTTCATCTATTCAGTTCTCTCAGTCATCGATGGTTGCAATTACTTCTAGCTTCAGTTCGCGGATGCTTGGGACATTAAGGTATTGAAAGGGATTGTGCGCAGAAGGGAGTAGTCGACGATCAAGGCTATGTTTTCTAGAGTGTCAGCGTGGCCATTTTCTCCTCTTAGGATTTGCTGGATTTCATACAATTCGAATTTTTTGAGCAGTAATTTAATTGTGTTCAAGTAAATCCCCATCACAGGGTGATGTGTAGCAAGTCTCCCGTGACTTGGTTAACTATAAGCATCGAATCGCAATGGATTAATAATTCTTTCACCTGCAGTTCTACTGCCACCCTGAGTCCTGCTGGGAGCGCCTTGTATTCTGTTTTGTTATTTCTTGCCTTAAACCTAGACATGTGTATTTATACCAGTCAGGAGAGAGACCTTTTCATGGTAGAATCCTTGTTCTACGCTGTAAAAATCCTAAAGGATATATAAAAGTTGATATTGCACCCTCTTAGGAGTTGTGATTACTTGCGATGCATGCTAATTTATAGATTGTATGAACTCCAAGACTATATAGGATCTAGCTGATTTCATATCAGATCAGATCCCGTGTCCTGAAGAACAAGGATGGTCATTCTAGTGAAGTCACTCGAAATTCGTCTACCACTCCGGAAGAAGATGATGGTGGCATCAATACTCTGTTAACCAGCACCGCATAGAGCTATTGAGTCCATAACTGGACTTATAAGGTAACTATGTTACGATTAGCTTACTCCGGCCCTGGAAAATCATGGTCCCACAATGGACAAAGTCTCATTCTCTGTGAACATGCAACAGAGATGCCATGCATCATTGCCATACTGATGGAACGATTTGCAAGGTAATGCGCCTAAATACAAAACAACTCGAGTGCATCGTAGCATTCAAAAAGTTCACAAGGTTTGAAGCCAAGATGCCATGCATCAAAAGAACTAAAACGGTACACATTTTGACTTACTCTAAAAGGCATGGCATATATAGTTAAGGGCAATTGTGGGATCATGATTTTTCAAGTTTGGAGTAAGGTGAGTCGAAATACGCATACCTCAAAGTCTAGTCATGGACTCGACAACCTTTGTTGCAAAGCTGAGTAAACGGAACAACGATGCCACTACCATCCTGTTCCAAAATCAGTGGGTGAAGTCCAAGGACTTCGTTGAGATTGACCATGCTTGTTCTACAAAATACGAAAACCTAATCCAGCAATGAATTAGTATGTTTTCTATAATCTTGGAGTCCTTATAGTTTAAAGATTGGCATGCGTCGTAAGTAATCACATTCCTAAGAGGATTCAATATCTATCCTTAGTTATCCTCTGACATTCTCCCACTTTAATAAGGATTCTACTATCCTAAAAGATCTCCTCCTTGACTGGTATATATACACCATTCTAGGGTTCATCTCTAGTACGACATACTTATTCTCTGGCCCACTACTTGAGTCTTATTTTGCTTACTAACTTGACTGTTGAAAAGCCTTTGACTGACACTCCCAGCCTTTGGCTTGCTCACTTTTGTTTGCTCTTTTATATGTTACTTGGATTTGTGCGTCTCCACCTCTTACGACGGTGCACAAATGTAGTTCCTACACTTTTGCTTTGTTGTACCATTTTTGTTAATACAACGTTTCTCGAAAAACCTTTGATCAGAAAATTCTTTTTCCTTCAAGCATGATTGATGAATAAATTGAATATCAAATCATATGCTTAACACACAAATCATACATGCTATTTTATACAGACATAAAAATAACTTGGACTGCAAGTAAAACTCAAGAAACTGGATTGAAGTCGTGGTCTACCAGTAAACAATCAATATACATTCAATAACATATGTCTATAACAGCAGCATATATGTTATAACGAAGAAAAATGAATTATGATATCACAATAGATCATTCACCACAGCATTCGAAAACGATTTATAACAATATTAATCTGTTATTACACATAAATTGATGAACAGCAGCAGCATAAAATAGGATCAAGATTCGATAACTTAGCTTTGCATGCATATATTCACATAACTGGAAGAATTGACGCGTATGAAACATGCAGATTTTAATCGTGGTATCCTTTACAGGTCTTGATCACACAAAACTATGCTATGATACCAACTGTCAACTTTATCAGTTCATGTAATTACACATAAGCTTTACATACCTGGAGAGGACGACATTGTAAATTTCTCGATGATCAAACATGAGGACGAAGTAGATTGAAGCACGTCTAAAAATCAGTATCAACATGGTACTCACAATATATGTAGAATTGTAGAGCATGTTTTAGTGCCATGGTCATTGAGTCCTTTTCTTCTTTAAGTAATACTAATAAGTAATTATTGTTGCACATTCATACTATTAACATTATTACAAGCACATACTAATTCTTCCCCCTTCTATTTGTGAACATATTCTCATACAAATTCAAACCAGAACCTGTTTATAAGCTTAGCTGAAAGACGATTGAGCGCTTCCATCTTGAACAGAAATTTCTGGTGGCGGCTCAAAACTGGTCCTTTAGGATTTCTCTTTGAACAACCGTGGATGGAGCTGCCTCAAGTCCATCTATAGATGGTTTTATAACAGTGTAAAATAACACATTATAGAAAACGGTAAAAGCAAAGACTGCAGCAGCCGTGATTGCAAAAAACGATCCTGAAAATTCCTCAACATGTTCATCTTTTGTTCGGTCTCTTGAAAAAGTCACATCCGGTGCTGCAACCAGTGAAAATAATTTCTAGTCAATGACCATGCCATGCCGTAACATCCACATTCCATCATTTTGTTTCATTTCTATTTCCTAATTTAACTCCCTATGAAATTGAAAATGCTATCAGACATAATTGCTTCACAGAATAGCAAGATCATATGAAAGACCGTAGCTTTGCAGTTTCGATAAAATAAAACTCCCTTAAAATTGTAATCTCACAATGCGATTAGGACAACTTAATGCAAAACATAAGATTGGTGGAAGTAAATCATCGTCTTTCTTTTTTTGGTTGATGGAAAAATTCACTAAAAACGCAGTGGCAAAAGCCAAACTGAAACAAACAAGGGAGACAGAGAAATTGTTATCGGTACACAGCGGGAACATGAGTCCTACAGAACACGATAACAATCACTATCACTACCTTGGCCATCCAGACATCCAAAAAAAAGGAAACCAAATCATGGTCTAGAACAGAAAAGTAAACACACACCATTTGCAGCCGAAGTGTTTGTGATTGTCACACAGAGAGAGAGAGAGAGAGAGAGTACCCTTTTCCTTTGGAGGGCGGAATTTAGTTTGGGAGCTGGATTGAAGTTGCTGGTCAAGATTTTTAAGGGCTTCTCTGGCCTTATCTGGGTCTACCTCAAATTGCTGTGACTCGTTCTCTACTGCATAAACAATACAGGAAGATGATGAAGAAGAAGAATTACGAAGTGGGTTTGTGTTCTTCTTCCTGCAAACGCCGTCGCCAGAATCTAGCAATTCAGAAATGCGTGTTTTAAGCTTATAACTTGTGAGAGAAAATGGTTGCAGCGATAATGGTGGTTTACTGTGAAGTGAAGGAGAATACAGAGGAAGCATTGATTTGAAGGAGATAAATGGAACCACAGCCACACTACCACAGCCACACTTCACAACTCGGTAAGAGGTTCGATAAAACCCAACAACGGTTAACGGTACGTTTGGCTCGGATGTATCACTTACGTTATTTATCCAACAGGATCCTCTCTGGATCCCTTTGGTGAGGATCCTAGAAATTTGTAAATCTTATCCGTTTATTGTAAATCAGTTTTTGTCAAATACTATTTGTGTTTAATTTTAAATAAAAATATTTAAAATAATTTCTGATATCACGATATATGATGAACGGATAAGATTAACGGATCTCCGGAATTCTCACAAAAGAATCCGGAATAACATCAACTAACTGACACGACACGGTTTCTGTTATATATATGGTCCAAACTAAACCGAGCAAAAAAAATCAAGTTGACCAAAATCAGTTAAACTCGAACCGATCTGTATACACCGTCCTCTTTTCGGTTTTGGAACATAGAAATCGATACGGGCCAAACTAGAACAAACCACTCCAACCTCTTAATGTTAACGATAGCCTATATGGATAACGAGTCGCGTAGCCAAGATTTTTAAATAATAGGGTTTTAATATCAACAAAAAAAAAATTATTGGGCTATTTCGTCAATCACCTAGCTAGTAGGCATCTGTCAATTCCTGTCAACATAAGTCAAAAGTCTATGCCAACATATGTCGGCAACTGTTATTATTTGTAGAGGCCTGTCAATGGTGGATGCAGAATATTGTGGAGTAATTGAAGACTGTCAAGGATTTTCAACTAAAGTATTTCATCGAGCACATGATGCATACAATAGAGTAGCACACAAAAAACAAAGAAAAAGAAGACAAATATTATAGAAGAAAATAGAAGTAGCAGAATGAGGTAGGGATCACATACAATAAACAAACAAATATACATAGAGTTGTTGAAGTTGTTGGGGTCAATGATAACCAATGGCCCTAAATAAAAGTGAAATGTACACTATGGTGAAAATTTAGAGACTGATTCTACACTTTACTCCAAAGAGTAAATTTTAAAATTAGTCCTTGTGGAACCTAGCTATATATATGTATGCCCATGTAAGTAAGTTGACGAAAGATAACAGAAGGGATCAATGCTCCACATTTTGTAATTCAAGGATCATAATTAACGAATTGTTAATTCAATAATGACAATTTCTGGACTAGGTTGAAAGTTCAATGATCAATTTTACATATTTTATGGAAATTCAAATTTCAAGTGATACTTTCATACTTGTTTTATTGTTTTGAAAAATAATGAACATGTTAATTTTTTTGGGTTTTAAAAATAAAAAAAAAGTGGTATCTTTTGATTTGATCAAATTAAAATGTAAAAAAGTGGTATCTTTTGATTTGATCAAATTAAAATGTGAGTATATAGTGTACTCACTAGTGAGTATCCAAGTATCGTCCAAGAATAATATATCTACAGCTAGTCATAATACGTACTAATTAGTTAAAATAAGTGCAAACATACTTTATCCTTTTTTGTTAACAAATAGGATTCTTTTAGTATATTTAGTAGCATAGAGCGTAGATTTTCGTACAAAAATTATGGTAATAAGGCATCAATCCAAATTTTCTATGAAATGAGGTCCAATGTTCGATTCACGCTACTAGGTACACATTGCTTACCATGAACTAATTCTTGGATACACATTTGCATCGAACCAAGAATTTGCAGTTAGGATTTCAATCAATACATATTGTTATCATGGATCTGGGTTTAATGTCAATGTCATGCAAAATAAAATCAGCACAAAAATTGGATTTGAATAATATGAAGGGAAGCAAGAGAGTCTCAGGCAAAAGATTGTTGATACATTGTAGGGTTTCATTCATTGTGATCTGCAAATCCACGAACTAATATGCCAAAAACAGCATAAAAGTAAAAGGAAAAGAAAATCCTGCAAGTAATTATTTCACAGCATTTTCGAGATTAGTGAGAGGAATTAGAGAGGGGTTTTGCCAAGCATGTTGGTGTTTCCTCTCCAGGCATTATGACAGCAACACTTGGCTCTGCAGAGTCTTCTCCTGCTCTTTCTCTTGCATAACTACTGCTTCTTGAGTTGGACCAAGTTTTCTGACAGGCGCAGGTTAAAATCAGCAGTTCCAACCCAACAAGTCCCATGACCAGGGCAGCACCGACGCTCGCCATGGCCTGTCCGAAGTGACCGTTCGACGTGGTGGCGGGGTAAAATGTTGCACGGAATATGGCTCTATCACACTCTCTATCTAGCTTATTTGATTGGATGAGAACAAATGGATTATGTTTGATTATTCATCTATAAAGTTACAAATATGTACTTGGTTTAAGTTGAACGAAGAGTGGTTGCATTATTAGGGCTATTGCTAGCAAGGTTTCTACTTTCATATATTATCCAAAATGTATGAATATGCATCAGTTAGCTAGGAATATAGTGTCACCATGTGTTAGGTTAGTGCTATTATACTGCTGCTGCATTTGGAAGTTTTTACTCAAGCACGTATATGAGAAAATAGCTAAGAGTTAATTTGTCATTAATTATGTAGGAAAAATATCCAATCTACCTTAGGGTTGATGGAAAAAAGATAGATACAACTGGCAGATACAAAGATGATAAAGCTACGGTTGTAAAACATTCTGAAATCACAATAACAAGACTTAGGATTATAGATTTAATAAGGAGTGACTTTGGAGTAATGATAATTTTAAATTAAACTTTGATATTTGTAGTTCTTTTATATAATGAGATTTTAAATAAAATTCATGATTTGTGAGATTGAAAATATTAAAAAAATAAACTATACTTATATAAAAAAGTATAATTTATCTTATTAACATGATTTGTCATTAAGATAAATTATATTTAAATAAAACTCATGATTTTTTGACACACCCCGACCCGGAATGTCTACTAAGACTCCGAATCGAGCCGTGCTAGCCGACACCTAGAAGGTGACGAAGCCATAAAGTGTGATGATGTAGAAAAATGTGAATGAATTTAAACCTAAAAGTGCCTAAATACCAGAGTGCGCTGGTGAGCGGGAATGAACCCACTTCACACGTGACGTTAGAGCATAAGTAAGTACAGTAGAGTGGATAAGGATTGTACCCTCAAAAGTAGCCACCTATCCTAATATTTGCCCAGAATCCTTGTCGCTACGAACTTTTAGCAATTAAAACTTGGAACGGTGCAAAATAGAAAGTGTGAGTGGGCAAAAACAAATCTTTTCAAAAAACATTTCAATTATCAAAGGTAGTAACCCCTCGTCGTAAAACCTGTATAATTTTCCAGAAAATAGCATGCATATATATATATCTCAAAACCATATTCAAAATAGCAAATCCACAAAGAATAAGTAAACCAGGTGGAATAAATCAATATGAAATGGTATGCAAGCCAGAGTCACATAACGTGACCTGTACGGCTGAGTCTATAGCTCATCAACTAGTTCTCTGCACACGAGTCGGAACCACCTAATGTGGTCTGTACGACAGGCTGGGTGTAAATAAATAAGCTCAAGTGCTACGATCACGTGAAGGTTGTGCGAAGTATCGCAAGTCACCTACGAGTCGGAACCACCTAATGTGGTATGTACAACAGGCTGACACCTACCTTGGATCCAAGGTGAGTGTGGTGCAGAAGGTGAACGATCACGTGAAGGCTAGACCATGTCCTCGGGCGGAGCACTAACACCGGGGTGCAGGACAATGAGTTATAAATACATCTCAACACAATCATTCTCACTAACATCACTACCATCAATATATACTCACTTGATATATATAACCATACTAATGCATAATCAAGCATAGAGAGCATTTGACATGGCATTTCAAAATATAAAACCTTTTAAATAAGTTTTCTAGGAAAAAGACAAGTATATATATATATATATATATATATACACTGAAAATCAAAGGCCCACTCACCTGGAGTTCACGCTACAACTCCCTAGCACACACATAGAGGTGTCACGAATGATCGGCGCCTAGAACAATTATCAAATCACATCTCAGAATTCTTATCGATAGAATACATAATTTACATAAAACACATCCCTACGTAGTTCGATCCGGAAGATCCGCATCACGAATTTCCTATCCCTTACTTCCAAAGATCCACATTAAACTTCTAGAACAACATCATAAAGTTCCATTACGATCCAATGGTCAGATCTCCGCCAATTGCCAAAACCAAGTGACGGTTAACATTTTATTTTATGAACTTACAAATTCAATTCAGGAAGATCCGTATATCAGATTCCCGATTTGTAAGTTCCTATGATCCTCATATATTATGTACTATAATATATTAAAGTTTGGTGACGATCCAATGGTCGGATCGTCGATTCATATAATGACCTATTAACATATCGTAGAGAATATAGGTTCCAACAATCAACCTACGTCATACAATTACCAAAACTGAGCTCAAGGCATCTAATTTAGCCTAAGAATAATATCAACAGCCCCCTAGCCACGCACCGCCGTGGGTGGCGGTCGGCCTCCCCGACTCGCCGAAAAATCCAACTATTTCCAAAAATTACCAAAATTTACATGAATGAATATCTCAATGAGTAGTAACTTTCATACCTGTGACCAAGGCCAATTAGGCCGAGAATAGCTTCAATTTTGTTAAAACCCGTCGGAAACCTTATACTCGGGTGTGCTCAATTTGACCTCCAAACTTGCTCTGACGCCTTCACCACTGCCTGGGCTTTGTTCCTAGGTTCTAGGGGAGTATTCTAGTGGTGGTAATTGGAGGTGATGGTTTCACAATTGGTAGATCACAAGCAAGGATTCCCACGGCACCCACGGTGCGGATTTCCCAGTTTCAAGGCCAAATTCTCTCCAATTTGGGGTGGAATAGGTAGAGGGAAGAATTCCAGGATGATTCCAAGTGATGAGGGGTCCTAATTTGCCGGAGAACCTAGGTCGGCCTGAAATGGAAAATCGGGTAGAGGGATCTAGTGTATCCTTTTCCCTCATTTCCCCTCATGTTTCCCTCTTCTGGTTGGTCACTCACCTTCCTCTCTCCACTCCCCATTCGGCCACTCTATCTCTCTCTCCCGATTCCTGGAA